ATGTTTTTCCTCAGTGCTTGTATACTAGCACCTAGTATAAACAGTGTTTGGTATATAATAGATGTTGAATAAATAGTTGTTGAATAAAGAAAAGGGAACAGCTTGGTGCAGTGGCACACATCTGTAATCTCTGAGGCTCAGGAGGCTGAGGCAGGAGGATCAAGAGTTCAAAGCCAGCCTCAGCAACTTAGCAAGGTCCTCAGCAACTCAGTGAGACCCTGTCTCTAAATAAAATATCAAAAAGGGCTGGGGATGTGGGCTCAGAAATTCAGTTCCCCTGGGTTCAATCCCTAGTACCAAAAAATAAAATAAAATAAAAAAGGCAAGGGAGAAAGAAAATAAATTGCTTTTTGTGAGGTTTATATGAAATAATGCTTTGAAGATTACTAGCATAACTCCTGATAGTCTGTAAATAGTATTCACCATCATGATCATGAGAAAAATACAATGTTTGACAAAGAATAGATTCAGAAAAAAGGTTCTAAATGCCTATAACAAGACCCATATTCTTATTGAATTAAGCCTGTGCTTTTCAGTCCCCTTCTCCTTGCCATCCACGGTAAATCTCAGTCCATTGGGAACAGAAAACACAGATTCATTTCTTACAGTCTGGGAGCAGCGATGTCCAAAATCAAGTTGCCCTCAGATTCCATGTTGATTCATAGATGGTGCCTTCTCTCTGTGTACTTACATGGTGGAAAGCGGACAGGCAGCTCTCTGGGACTTTTTATCATATATTCAGTCATTCAGTAACCTATTGGTACTTGGGATCGAACCCAGGGGCACTTCACTGAGCTGCATGTGCCTGCACTTCTTGTTTTTATTTTGTGACAGGGTCTCTCCAAGTTGCCCCAGGTGGCCAGGAACTTGCTTTGCAATCTTCCTGCCTCAGCCCTGAGTGTGGCTGAGATTCCAGGCATGTGCCAACACATCCAGCTCTGGGGCTGTTTTTTTTTTTTTTTTTAATAAGAGGTGCTGCCCTCATGATCGTCTACTATCACTTTGGGGATTAGGTTTCCACATAAGAATGTCGAGGGAATATGGACATTCAAACCTTAGCATGTAACCCCCAGCAGTCACTTTGGGGCCACCTGAGTTTTGGCCACTGAGTCCATAGTTTTGGATTTCAGTGTATACAGGGGCTCAAGGTATTTTCAGAACTGGATATGAAATGAATGACACGAACATGGCCATGATGGAGTGTTGTTGGGGGTGATGGTTCATAGAAGTGACCCATTTCCAATCCATATAACTAATTACATGCTAATTTTTATGTTCTTCTAGTTCCTAGGATAAATAATCATCCATCCTTTGGCTAACACATTTGCCTCAGGGTAGAAGCAAAGCATTTTTAGAAACATTCCCCCCTCTCTTATAGGTTATTGAGTTATGGAAATGCTACTAGCTGTTTCTCATTTCCATGACTAAAGGGTTTCTTTTACCTTAAAAATATTAGACAATTCCCTTCCTTTCCTTTTGAATATCAGTAGTATCAGTATAAAGGAGAATCCTACTGACTCCGTGGACAATTAAGGAGAGAAATTGGGAATGGTATTTATTAAATTTGTGGGAGTCCTTGATTATCAATTCTCCATAGAACAAGGGTTCCATTGTTCCAATCTCAAATCCACCTGTTACCAACTTTGAAACCCTGAATAAGTTACAAATAAATCCTTTCTGAGCTTAAATATCTACATACATCGTACAGGATGTCTACAATAAATATACACTTGCATGTTGAGCAGATATACTCAAAGACAGATGCTGTGGAAGAGGTAGGTGTGTGCCCAGACCTCAGTTTGAAGTTTGGATACAAGGAAGAAGGATGGGAGAGGCTTCTTCTCGCCATCTGAAAGAATTGGTGAACTTGAGAAATTGTTCTATACTTTTGGATCAGCTGTGGAGGAGGCAGACATGGGGAAAGAAAGATTCCTTAGACTGTCCTTTTTTTCCGCCATCTTGGATTTTGATGGCAGGCATGACAATAAAGATAGGAATGAGCCTAGAGTTTGTAAAGCAAGGACACAGAGATAAAGAAATAAACCCTCTTCTGAAATGTTGTTAACATGGGGAGGAGCTGCCATGCTGTTTTTGTCTTGCTAGTACAATGGAAACACACACACACACACATTTTATGTGTGTGTATATCTATCTATCTATCTATCTCCAGGTAGCCATTGCTTAGTATAATGTTAACAATTTCCCTTGAGCAGAAACAACTTAGTGTGTATTTATGCCCAAGAAGAAATCAACAAGAAAAAGGACATTGTTTTGGACTTGAGTGTTGTGCTTTATGAAGAAAAGTATTTTCTCTATGCAGACCAGACCCAGTATGATAGTTGCATTTTCCTATATTGATACTATTGGGCTTTGTTCAGTTCTTGAAATACTGAAGAGGCTTCATATATAGTCTTTGCTGTAAAACCCACAGTATGGGGCTTCAAGGCTGAGCTTCTACACCTGCAACCTCTATAGCCTCCGAATCATGCCAGAGTTGCACAAGAGACAGAAATGAGGACATCCATGGGTAGAGAGGCAGAAATGGAGCTCTTACAGGATTTTCATCGCATAGACAAAAATGAAAAAAAAAAAAAAAACTAAGTAGGCTTGCAGTACCACTCAACTAACTGGAGGTAGGAGCCAGGTACCCTGATCACATTTGCTATTAAAACTGAGAAGGGATCTGTGTTTGACCTCTAGGGTATAAGAATTCCTCCTCTTAGGGCTCTTCTCTGGACCCCTCATCAGCACCCCTGGACAGGGGGAAGGTGACCAGTACTTACCATCTTCTTTGGCATTTTATCTGAGCACATCATGTTCAGATAACAGAGCTGCTTTACTTTTAGCTAAGAGAGAAGTTGTCTTAGACCAAACTTGGGAACCAGAGGGCTTCCCAATCTCCAGGAGGCAGCATCAGTCAGTGCCCATAAATAGGGCTTTGGCAAAGACATAGAATGAGATTTTAAAGAGAAGCCATTGAGTCATACTTGGACAACTGGCTCCTTCCAGATCAGAAATAGTCCAGTCCCTAATGCTCTAAGTAGCAGGTTGAATGGTGGCCCCTAAAAGATTTGTCAACTCCCTGGAATCTGCAAATGTGAACTTTAAAAAAAGGGACTTTGTGGATAGAATTGTTGAAGATAATGAGACCTTTGGGAGATAATCCTGAATTACTCAAGTGGGCCCCAAGTCCAATGATAAGTGTTCTTACAAGAGACACATAACCCAATCAATAAATGGGCAACAGAATTAAACAGACACTTCTCAAAAGAAGAAATATGAATAGTCAACAAACAAAAAAATATGTTCAACATCTCTAGTAATTAGAGACTGCAAATTAAAAATACATTAAGACTTCATCTCCTTTTAGAATGGCAATTACCAAAACTATAAGCAATAATTAATATAATAATATTATCAATAATATTAATATTGACAAGGATGTGGGGAAGAGGATACACTCTGCAAATTAGTGTGACCACTCTGGAAAGCAGTATGGTGATCCCTCAAAAAACTAGGAATTGACCCACCATTTGACCTAGTTATCCCACTCTTCGGTATATAACCAAAGGATTTAAAAATCAGCATACTAGAGTGACACAGTCACATCAATGTTTATAGAAACAAAATTCATAATAGCTAAGCTATGGAATCAACCTAGGTGCCCCTCAACAGATGAATGGATAAAGAAATCATGGTATATATATACACAGTGGAATATTACTGAGCCATAAAGAAGAATGACTTTGATATTTGCTGATGAATTTGAGGATCTGGAGACTGTCATGCTGAGTGAAATAAGCCAATCCCCCAAACCAAAGGTGGAATGTTTTCTCTGATATGTAGAAGTTAACCCATGATAAGGGTTGGGGTGGGGAGAATAGAAGTTTAGAGCATTAGTGAAAGGAAAAGGTAGGGGTTGGGGGGATAGGAATAGGAAAGACAGTAGAAAGAATCTGACGTAACTTTCCTGTGGACATTTATGAGTACACCACAGTGAACCCCACCATTGGGACCCTGATTAAGATGTATTTCATGCATGTATAATTTTATCAAAATGGACTCCTCTGTCCTGTGTAACTGAACCAATTAAAAAATATATTGTTCCCTCCCCAAAAAAGGTACCCAGGAGAGATGGGGGGTGGAGAGAGAGAGAGAGAGAGGGAGAGGGGAAGAGAGGGGAAGAGAGGAGGAGGAATGTGATGACAGGGACCGAGACTGACAGGATTCTAGGAAACACCAAGGATGCCACTCATGGGCAGCAGCTAGGAGAGAGCCGTAGGATGGGTTCTCCCCCAGAGCCTCTGGGGCAGTGTGTCCCTGATGGATTCTGTTTTTTTTTTTTTTTCCTGACCTCCAGAACTGTTGAAAGATTAAGGTGTTGTTGTAAGCCACCCAGTTTCTGGTAACTTGTTCAGGAATGACAGGAAACTAATGTGACTTATATTGGTGATGGGGTTGGAGTTGGGGAGTGTCCCATAAGCCTAAGGAGATTCTCAAAGAAAAATCCTGTTTACAGTAATTTGTAGCTATGCTGTCGATGTGTTTTTATCTTTCTATAGAAACTCTAATCCCTTTTTATAAATATGCCAGAGGAAAGAAAAAGCCTACTTCCATCCTATTTCCCTAAAAATTGAAAAATTATGGGCAAGGGGCATGGCTCCTCAACCCATATCAGAAGCTTTCTCTGCTCCCCCTAACTTTCCTATCGCCCAACAGCTCAGCTCAATGTAGAACGTGTGCATTTGTATCCTGAACCTAATTTTGCCATCTGAAGCTTCTCTGCGCTGAGGGCAAGAGGAAAACATAACCCAGGAAAAGTTGTACATTTCTTGTTCTATTATCTGTCCTACCAAAATGGAAACACTCTGAATCTTATCTCCGCTGTAACAAACTCTTGGTTCACAGGAAGCCAACTAGCTCCAAGAGATCACCTTCCTCAGTGGTGCCTCTCAGAGGTCCCGAAATATCAATTTTTAAGTCAGCCGGCACATGAGATAAATATTTTAAGGACCATTTTATTTTCATCCAGGCTAAGGGACAATTTAGAAACGTTCTATTCTAAGTACATAGCGTGAAGAGAAATGCGTGGCAAGGTTGTGGATGCCATTGTTTTGAAGCCAGCCTGTCAGTCATCATGATTGAAACATAACCCCAGTGGCTTCCACAAGTGCAATAAAATGCTTCGCAAAAGGTTGCAGAATCGTAGGATGTAATAAAGTCTGCTTAGCTTCATTTCCAATGCCGCAGAGTCCTAGAGAACGAGGCCCATTTCCTTATGCCTTGGGATTTGTTTGAGTTACTTTCATGCCTGGAAATGACAGAACATAAAAACAGACATTTAGTTAGAACCAGTAGCATTTTTTTTTTGAGTCATGGCAATAAACAAAATATAAATTTGTTTACTGCTAATCTGTTGGATTGCCGTTAACATTTTATGAGAGGTCATATTTATGTGGCACATTCCATGAAATAGATAGATTCCAGGCCTACTGATGCCTATACTGGCTGGGTCCCCACATTTTCTGTGTCCTCTGCCCACAGTCTATGCCGTCAAGGTCAGCGGCATGGTGTTTGAAGAATCTGTGTTGTTGATAACAAAGCTTATATACAAATGAAACCAATCCAGACCTATATTTGTTATTAGGTAAGAATGGGTTCCCCAGCAGCCATTGTCAGAATTACTTGCTGATCTTGTTAAAAACAGAACTCTGTGCCCCACATCCTGACTTAGCAGTTCTGGGGAGAAGCCCAGAAATCTGTTTTGTTTTGTTTCCCTTTTTTGATACTGGGGATGGAATCCAAGGGCTCTCAACCACTGAGACACATCCCCAGCCATTTTTCATATTTTATTGAGAGACAGAGCCTCACTAAATTGCTGAGTCTGGCTTTGAACTTGCTATCCTCCTGCCTCAGCCTCCCAAGCCACTGAGATTACAGGTGTGCACCACTGCACCCAGCAGGAATCTGTGTTTTTAAACAATCTCTGCAGGGGAGTCTGAGAAGCTTAGCCCAGGGGCTTGGGGAATTATGGAACCTCCACATTGCAAGCAGAATCAGCTCTGCCTCAAGGCCAAGCAGTGTATCTTATGCATATAGGCCAGGCCTACAATAATTTCTACTCACAAAGTTAAAAAGTGAGGGTAAAGTCCTTTCATTTTGCAAGAAAATCAGACAATTCCTTGGTGGTATGATGGTGTACTGGCCCACACCATTTCAAAGCTCCAAACCCACCTCTCTGTTGCAGCCTTAACTTCTAGGCCTCTATTACTGGGATCACTTAATTAGGCACCGTAAGTTCCTGCCCCTGCTAGCCTCCTAGCTCACAGTGGAGTAATTACAAAAAAGAAAATAAAGTAGGAGTGGGGAGAAAGATGAAGACATTATGGGTTATATTTCATAAAATTGGGGGAAGATTGAAAGAAAAGGCACTAAGAGAATTTTGGAGCATCCACTATGCATGTGACAAATGAAGAGATTTTTGAGAAATATTGTTGAGAAGCACAAATAGATTTCCTCTTCAGAGTTTTCAAGGGATTTCAGAAAATATTTAAATTGCTTTTCACATATTGTCTGCCATTTGTGGCCTGGCGTGCGGCACTACAGCCACGAATCTGAGAAGCTGTAGTGTGAAGACCCTGCTTGCTTCAAGGGTGTAGCTCACGGACATCCTCAACCCGGGCCCACTCAGATCCACCTTGGGGTAGACATGCACCTCTAGTACATGGAGAAAGATCCCAGTGAGCCCAGCATTAGGCTTTTCCTACAATGTAGTAACAGTGAAGAGCAGGCCATCTCTTTGAATTGCACCTAGTCCATTTGGGAATCTAGAACATAGAGGCTGGGTCATGTCTGCTTCTAAATCACACTAGGAAGGTCTTGTCTGAGCTCAGGATGTCCTCCCTCGAGGCCCGCTGGTAGCCGTAGTGAGAAGTGGACCGTGGACTGTATGTAGCAGCCAGTTGGCCCCTCTGGGAGAAAGGGACCTGTCTTACTCCCATTTGACAATAGGATCATCCCTTATTGTGCCCAGTGCCACCCATCTTGCCTGGAGATACAGGTCATCTTCCGATCATTCATCATTGCCCTTGTCCTTGAACAATATTGACTTTGAGTCAGAGGCGCCTGAACAGGACTGAAAATGGATGTGCCCTTTCTATCCTTTCTATCTGCCTTGCCTGTCTACAGCAGATTTATGTCTTAGGAGAAGTTTCCCCTGGTTTTATTTTTGGTCTCCTGAAGGCTATGACCCTGCACTAGTTCCCTGTAATTTCTGAATCCAGGTGAATGCCTCTATCCATACCTGAGGAGGCTCTCTGTCAGTCTACTCACGATGCTTCTGTGACCCATCCCTCAACACAGCTTTCACATCCAAATGTCTGCCTAGCTCCTTAGAGCTCTGTCTGTGCAGTTTTGTTTGTCCATCTGGCCTGGAGGCTCATGAGAAACAGTCTTCCTTTCATGCCAGAACACACTGGAAGAACGTGTTGTGCTTTGGGTGAAAAGGTGAGAGTGTGAAGTCCAGGCACCTCACTTCCTAGCTGGTCATCCCTAGGCAGGGTGAATGCATCTCGCAGGTGCTTTAGAGAGTTCAGCGACACAAGTGCTCACAGCCATGCCTGGGGCATGATAATGTCACTGTGTGTTGGTGTCTCTGGTTGTCATTATCATTATTTCTTCCAGTGTCATAGCAAGAGAAGACTTAGGACTTGGTTACACAGTGAATTATTCTGCAGCAGGGCCATGTGCTCACCTACTAGTTTGATTTTTTACACAAGGTGCCCTTATAAATATCTGTAGCTTCCTTTAATATCAGAGTTAAAATTGAAGGGGTGCTAAATTGAAGGACATCTGGGCATCATCAATGAAAGGATTTACTGAGATGCAAATAAGGTTTCCAGGAAAGTATGAGTAGGTGAATGAGAATGGTTCTGTCCTCAGGGTGCTTCCAATCCATATCACACATAGCGCATGTGGCCAGGTAAGCAGGCGGGCCAGAACATGTGGGCCTTTCACTGTGAACTCGGGAGGTTTGATCTCTGTGAACAAACATGCTTGAGAATTTTCCATTATTTCCAAGTTCTGAATGGACATAGTGCAGATTAACTGCCCTCCTTCCCGGTCTGCCATCGCCAGCAATATGCTGGCAGAATAATAGGTAACATCTTTGAATTAGAAGAAAAAAATACAATGTCTGGCTATTTATTTTCTTTTTTTTTTATTAATCTGCCACTATATCTATTTCTTTTTTTATTTAATGATTAAGGTATATTGTACAAATTCATGGGATTCACTGTGATATTTCCATACTAGCATCCATGAGGTCCACCCTTCTTCCACACTGATCTGCCAGTCCCCCTTCTACTTTTAGATCCTTTTCTATTTTAGTTTCCACAAATATGCAAGAGAACCTGATATACCTGTGTTGGTGTCTACCTTGTTTCACTTAACAAAATGTCCATTCATTTTGCTGCAAATGGCGGAGTTTTATTCTTTGTGGCTGGGTAACACTCCATTATTACCATATTCATTCACTTGTTGATGGGCATTGATTCCATATCCTAGCTATTGTGAATGGTGCTACAGTAAACATGGGCATCGGGTATCTCTTTTGTAGGCTGATTTCGTTTCTTTTGGATATATATACCCAGGAATGGGATAGTTGGATCATATGGTCATTCTTTTTAAGGTTTTTGAAAATCCTCCGTACTGTGCTACTTTATATTCCCACCAGGAGTGTACATGGGCTCTTCTTTCTGCACATCCTCTCCAGAATTTTTTATATATTTTTTTGCAAAAGGCATTCCAATTGGTGTGAGGTGGAACCTCATGATTTTGATTTTGATTTCCCTGATGGCTGATGATTTTGAAATTTTTTTCCATGTATTTATTGGCCAGTTGTATTTCTTTTGAGAAGTGTTTATTCAGTTTATTTGCCCGTTTTGAATCATTTTTTGTTGTTATGTGTTTTGAATCTTTCTGGCTATTAATCCACTGCTGATGAGTAGCTGGCAAGTGTTTACTGCCATTCTCAATTCATGCTGTTTTTTCTTGTGCTTTTGGGACCTAACCAGAAAATGCTTGCTTCTACCAGTATCTTAAAAGTGTTCCCCACTATGTTTTCGTCTAGTAGTTTCAGGTCTTACATTAAGGTCTTTGATCTATTTTGAGTTGATTGTTGTTTTATAGGGTGAGATGGGGGTCAAGTTTGGACCTTCTGCATGTGGATATCCAATTTCTCCAGCATCATTTGGTGAAAAGGCTGTCATTTCTTTAAGGCATGTTTTTGGCCCTTTTAGTGGGAATCAGTTGACTGTAGTCAGTGGGCTTACTTCTGGATTCTCTATTCTGTTCCATTGGTCTACGTGTCTTTATGCCAATACCATGCTGTTTTTACTACTCTGGCTCTATGGTGTGTCTTAGCATCAGATATTATGATACCTCCGTCTTTTCTCTTTTTGTTCAAAATTGCTTTGCCTATGTGAGATTTTTAGCACTTCCATACAAATTTTGGGATTTTTTTTTCCTGTGAAGGAGGTCATTGGTGTCTTGATGGGGATTGGTTGACTCTGTAGATCACTTTGAGTAGAATGGACATTTTAACAACATCAAAACAATGTTCTATGAACATGGGAGGTCTTTCCACCTTTCAGTGTCTCCTTGCATTTCTTTCTTCAGTGTTTTGTAATTTTCATGTTGGAGATCTCTTATATCCGTAGGATCATTCCTACTTTTTTTTTTAAGTGTAAATGGCTATTCCAAAAGGAATTGCTTTCTTTCTCAGCAAAGTCATTATTGGCATGTAGAAAAGCTACCGGTTTTTGTGTGTCGATACTGTATCCTGTTACTTTATTGAATTCATTTATCAATATTTAGAAGTCTTTTGGTGAAGTCTTTAGACTTTTCTATGTATAAATTCATATCATCTGCAAACAGGGATAATTTTACTTCCTCTGTTCCTATGTGTGTGCCTTTTATTTCTTTCTCTTGCCTAATTACTCTGGCTAAAATTTCTAGTACTCTATTGGATAAGAGTGGTAAGAATAGATACGCTTGTCTTGCTCCCAGTCTTGGAAGAAATGCTTTCAGCTTTTCCCCCTTCACCGTGAGGTTGGCTGTGGGTCTGTCATATATAGCCTTTATTATGTTCAGATGTGATCCTTCTATACCTAATTTATTCTGGGCTTTTATCATGAAGCCATGTTGGATTTTTTTCAAATGCTTTTTTGCATCTATTGAAATGATTGTCTGATTTTTATCTTTCATTCTATTTATGTGATGTAAATAAGTCTTGAGTAAGGACCATAACCT